GGCAATAATAAAAGGTATTTCTAGGAACTTGACTGTGTTTACCATCATCATGCAAGTTCAGTTGAATCTATTGTGTTAAAGACTTAAGTATTTTCATATAGTACACTAAATATGCCTTACAGTTCACATTATAGCTTACTGTATTGCATGAAGCCAGTTCTGTATATATATAGTGATTTGGATTTTGTGGAAAGCATAACATTTAAATGTTATAAATAAATATTTCTGGGTTCTTCCTAGGCCGGGTAAAAAATCCTGAATGGAATAGAAATGAAATACCACATAGTTGTGGAGAATTGTGTAGAAAGAAAAGATCAGCTCAAGATTGTCCACATTTATGTAATATGTAAGTCTGCTGATACTTTTTTTTAAAAAAATATTTCTTTACGGCTTGATTATGGGTTTTAGATAATATGGGACACCATAGTCATTAGTTGGGCACAATATCTGAGTTAATACAATAAATTTGTTCTTATAGCTTAGCGTGTCAGCTGCTATCTACCTATTTGTCATCTGTCCCTCTCTATCCTTTAACTCTTTAAATTGCAACTCTTTCTGAAATTGCATAATTTCTTGAATATATGAGTCTAGGCAAAGAATCGGAAAATGTATATAAATTGTGTACATTTTATGTATAAAATGTATACATAAATAGGTAGATAGTAGCTGACATGCTAAGATAGGTTATTATAAGAACAAAATTATTTTATTAACCAAATGTTAATTGTTAATTCTTCATAACATGCAGAATGTATACTTGTACAGAATTAACACATTTTGGTTCTAAATCAGAAACAAATTAGCATAATAATATGTTAATTATATAGGAATATATGTTAGCACGGCTGGGTAAAAATGAAATAAAAATACTGCACATCTTCTATTTGTTTATTTGTTTCTTAGACTTTGTCATCCAGGACCTTGTCCATCCTGCCCTGCTTTCATGACCAAAAAATGTGAATGTGGACGTACAAGGTAATATAGTCTGCATTAGAAAATTTACAACGTTGGTTTTTATAAGTTATTTTTTAAAGTGTCATTGGGGAATTACAAATTTTAAGTATAACATATCTATTCTTGGGGAATTGGCTTGTATTTTCTAAGGGTCTAGTCTCCTAGACAACATATGAATATGCGTAGTTAGAATATGCTTGTGTAGTGCCCTCCTTCATTTGGGTTTCAGCCAGAGCTTTTTAATGACAGTCAATCTGTTACCAAAATTGGAATAGTGCTGCTAGAAAAAAAAAATTCTTGAAGAATTCAGGGAAAAGAAATTAATATTTAGGATATGGAATTAAATGTTTTTTTATGTTTTCTGTAGATTCTGTGAATAATACTTAAGGTTTTACAGTAAAACTATATCAGAAGTAGATGGTTATCTTTGATTTCCTAGCAATAGCATGATGTTTTATGATCTATACCACAAGTAGTTCCTAGCATTAATTGTGCTCCTGCTGTCAATTCCATAAAATAAAAATTTCCATAAAATAAAATTTTTCAGAAGAATTCAGAGTTTAGAAATAATGTTGATAGAGCTAAAGACGTGAAGGATAATTTATGAATTTATCATTAATTTTTTTTCACATGCCGTTTTGAAAATGCCAAAATTTGACAATCCTATTTTTAAAATTATTTTTAAAATACTTTTTCTTTACGCTTTGGAGTAAAATGATGTCCTTTCATTCAAAAAGAAAACTAATGAATGGCTAATATTGTAAGGCAATATTCAGGTTTCTAATGTTATATTATTGTGTAAACAGTATAATGTATAAGGTTTAGCATTATTATGATGCAGTTCTAGATTAGATGAAATCTGAATTCAGATGCGATGGGTAAGCTATTTTGTTAGATTTTGGCTTACTACCATGTTTCCCCGAAAATAAGATCTATCCCAAAATAAGCCCTAGCTTAATTTGTACTCATGTGCCTAATATAAGCCCAACCCCCAAAATAAGCCCTAGTTAAGAGCCTGCCCACTCCATCCCACCGGATGGTCTGGTTGCATGAGGTGGAGCGAGGCGCATGCGTAAAAATCAAGTGTTATGGTTCCCATAGATGAGACCAATTAAAGCAGAACTCTGAGGCTTGAACTTTCCTCTAAGAACATGTTTATTGGTTGCAAAGTATCAGCACGGTCAAAAGTGAAACCAAGACTAAAGTTCCCTCCAAAAGCAATAGTAATACAAAGTTAAAATTCCCACCCCATAACCTAGGCAATCAACTACATTTCCCAATAGAATAGTTTGGCAGGCTTTCTAACATTAGGCTCAACCCCCCAATCAACGGAACAGAAATTAGCTTGGTTCCCACAGGACAGAAAATTGTTTAGGCTAGCATAAAACGTCTCATTCCTACTCCCCCCAATCCTGTGGCAACCGAAAATAAGCAAGATGGCTTCAGTCAGGTTTGTTGCAGGTTTAACATCAAGCTGGGGTGGGGTGGGGAGCTGCCTCTCAAGCCCCACACCCACTTACCTCAGAACTGCCTCAGCCAGGCGTCTCATATCCCAACACCTGCCTTGCTTTGCGGTGGCGGTACCAACAACCCCATCCAGCAGGAGCCCATGTGGCCGCCACCAGCCCATTTCTGCAGCCACTTGCCGCCGCTCACGCGCATCGCTCCCAGCCTCTATTTTGCTGGCAGAGCCCTTCAGCTGAGAACGGAGACCAGGGGGGTGACATGCATGTCAACCTGGGGCTTCATTCTGGACTGCAGAGGCCTCTCCTGAAGGCCTCTGCTGGCGAAACGGAGACCGGAGGCAACGCAAGCAGTGGGCCACTAGCGGCCATGCCTGCCGGACGGGGCTGTTGGTATCACCACCGCAAGGCGAGACAGTGGAAAAAATAAGACATCTCCCAAAAATAACACCTAGTGCCTCTTTTGGGGACAATTTTTTTTTAAGACCGGGTCTTATTTTGGGGGAAACATGGTATGATATGTGACCTCAGCCATTGTGATTTATAAACCATAATTTATTACTTGGGTTCTGTAAACTCAACCATTACATCTTACTATCCAGGCCATTATTAGTGAGGATCTTATAATACTGTTTTATTTTTAAGATCACAAATGATGTAACAAATAGAGGAGATAAATTTTAGATATTTTTGCCTTTATTCTGTATTTTTTGTTATATTGGCATATGGACACACAGTTAATCTGAGCTTAACGAAAGATGTGCATCTAAAAGGGAGGAGATAAATGTTTTCCCCAACCAAATTACTAATTAAAAATAGAGAGTTTATACCATGTTAAAGCTTAGACCAAAGTTCATTGCAGGAATGGTTTAATTTTTATTTTAAGGTGCCACAAGACCTGCTTTTGCAACAGCAGATAAATACAGTTACCTTTCTTGAAACTGCTAATTTGAACTTAAATTTTGGAATAAAATGTTATGTGTAGCTACAGCTGTATAATTGTAAAGAATGGGTTTGAGCTTTCCAATAGTGCAAAAATGTTATGTTGATCCTATTGTGTGGGAAGAATTTTTCTGTTTAAATAAAATTCCCTATAGTTTGCAAGTTTATGAAATTATACCCCCTTAATTTAGCAAGACCCCTAAAGCAAACACTACAATTTTCAGCGAGTTTCATGCCTGCTAATCAATAGCTTTTTGTAAAAAAAAAAAAAAAAAAGTTTGAGTAAAGGGTTCAAGTGTGAATATAGAATTTGCTCCGTCATTGCTGTGGACTGACTTAGTTTTCTTCTTCTATAGCCATTCAGTTCGCTGTGGGTATTCTTCTGCAATTCAGTGTACTAATACATGTGGGAATGTTTTGAACTGTGGTAAACATAATTGTACCCAGATATGCCATTCGGGAAAATGCCTGCCATGTGAATTGACTGTAAAACAAGGTGCGTAAGGATTTCATATTTTTTTTAAATTTATTTATAAGTACTACTTGTGTGAGATTTACAGAATTACTGTTTCTATAGGACCAATTTTCTACTAGGGTTAGATCTAGGTATGCTCTGTTATATATGCATAATGAAGAATATAATACTGGCTCTCTTGTGGGCTTTTAGAATTTGCATTAGAAAATACAATTGCTATGATGGTAGAATGATAATGATATTACTATGTTGAAAAAAATACAATATGTAATAGGCTAGAAATGTGTTTTTCTGTTTATTTCCATGTAAAAGCAACCCCTGAGGCTAAAAAAGTCAACTGATAACTAAAAATTCAAACATTTTGGTCTAGTGGTTAAGGCACAGGATAGAAAGCAGGAGATTGTAAGTTCAAGTCCCATGAAAACCAGCTGGGTGACTTAGGGCCAGTCACTCTCTTTCAGCCTAACCCACCTGACAGGGTTGTTATAGGGAAAATCAGAGGAGAAGTTATATTAAATACGTTCACTACCTTGAGTTATTTGTAAACATAGTAAGTACTTTTCGGTCCTAAATACTTTTGGGAGATCTATTGTAACTTCAAATTGTCTCTAAGCGACTGGTTATCTATAACCCAAATATATAGTAGAGTATTTAAATTATGTAATACAATAATTCAATGAATGTCTTTTTTGATTTGTTTTAAATAACATAGTACAGCTTACAGTTTGATGCAGTACCCAGTTTGATTAAATGTACTCATTGATTTATGATCACAATTCAGCCTGAAATTTAGGTTGTAAGTTGACGTGGTCATTAAACAAGTCACCACATGACTTTACTCAACATTACGACTGTATCATGGCTTTCCCAGGATGGACAGAAAGTGGACAAAGAGAAAAGTGCCTGCTGAAGGGAGACAAGGAATTCCCCTTGGTGCGCAGAAGGGAACTTCAACCCTGGGCTGGGGAAATTTGTGATCCAAGCTTCCTTTCTTCAGCCCAGCATTGCAATTCCCCTCTTTCCTACTGAAGAAACTCCACCCCATGTGAAGTGAAATTAATTTGTCAGGCAATGTTTTTGCTGTCAAAGAGGATAGGTGAAGAAGTCCCTTCATAAGGGATGTTTTTCACCCAGCTTCCTTGACAGCAAAAATGCTACTTGCTAGAGAGATTGTGCCCCAGGTAGGGTGGAGTCTCTCTGGTGGTCAGTGCTTTTGCTCTCAGAGTAGCTGGGTGAAAAAGACCCTTCACGAGGGACTTTAGTGTCTACTGGACAATAATAAAATTATTAAAAATTCTTTCTGGAACAATTATGGGCATAAAAATCATTGGGTAAAATATGAAAATAATTTTCAATAGCATACACTTATTAAATGAATATATAGAAAAAATATAGGTGAGTGCATTAATTTTGTATTAATTTTTTATCTGACCCAAATATTAGTGCTTGATATGTATTATATTTCCAAGGAAAAAATTCTTTTTTCTCGGAAAAAAGACCTTTTCTTAAGTATCTTTATTATAATCCTCCGATGTGTTTTTCTGTTTAGTATGTTACTGTGGGAGCACCTCTCGAGAAGTATTATGTGGAGCAAGTGAAGATTGGTTTTCATGCCTGAGAACTTGTGGGAAGTAAGGAAATAGCTTATTTAACATATATTTTATTTATCTGTTTTCCATATTTATTATCAGTATAAGATTACAAACAAATTATGATTCTAATTTCAGAAAATTATCCTGTGGAATGCATAGCTGTGAACAAGTATGTCACCCACGGCCCTGTCAGCCTTGTCCACGGCTTCCACAAATAGTGCACTGTTGTCCTTGTGGACAGACTCCTCTTACTAAATTACTAGAGTTGGGGTGTACGGAACGTAAACTCTGCACAGATCCTATCCCATCATGTGGAAGAACATGTGGAAAACCTTTACCTTGTAGTAGCTATGGTAATTAAACATTGCTTGCTTCCATATTTAAAAATGTATTGTGCTTTAATTATCACATTTTCAAAATGAAATACTAAAAGCATAATTTTGAACAAAAATAACTCATTTCCATGGTGATAAATTTTAGTTTAGAAAAACAGGCATTTTGAGAGAAAGATGGAAAAGAAATTGATGTTTATGGCTTATTTGTTTATAATGGAAGATTGAAAGAATCAGTAAAAACAGTGAATATTCTGAATGTGGGACAAACTTTTTTTTAATAGTGTCAGGAGTGGGTCTTGGGAAAATAGATATGGGAGAGAAAAAAACAAAGTAGAATGGATGAAGAATGACTGAAGAAGGTTACAAATTATTTATCAGAAAGTATAAATAGATTTCCAGCACAATGTGAAGTGGGCATAAGAAAAGATGTGGAACAGAATGAAATAAGTTACAGATTGCTTCAGAAGTGTGTGGGAAGTATGAATTCACACTCTTGGAATGAGGAAGTGAAAGAGACTATGGATGAAGAAAACAAATAAAGGTGGTCCGTGACATATGACCCCAGTTGAAACCGGAACACTAGTTGCTCAACAGAGTCGTTAAATGAGATGTGTTACTGTTTAACTCAATGACCACAATCCCAGCTCTCCCGGTTATGGTCATTAAGTGATTTTGCAGATTGTTAAGGAGTCCCAGACAAAGAGTTCAGGAGTGTTTCAGAGATGGGGGGAGGCCCTGGGATGTCTGATGCAGGTTGTGCATGAGTTTGGGGGATGCTGCAGTGTGAAACACATGTAATGCATGCTATACAGACCAGATTTTTGCTTTTCAAAAAATCTCTGAGAAATATAATACCTATGAATAAAAAACTTACTTGAAAGTGTATGCCAGAATTGTCATTACTAATCAATGTAGTCATATGGTGTCATATTTTATGACCACATTGCTTAGTGACAGAAATTCTGTCTCAATTGTTTTAGTTTGAGGATTACATGTAATGGGGGGGTATCTTCCTAACCTGCCTCACAAAATCTTTTGTTAGCTATCTGTATACATAATAAAAAACTGCATTTCAAGATTGGTTCTGAAAGTAGTGCATTTGTTTGTTTGTTTGTTTTTTAAAAAGTCTAAATTGACTTAGTTGTGACTGTTGAGTAATAATAAAAATCACAGTTGGAATATCTTAGAACACTAAAACTTACAATAGGAATGCTTTTCAAATTTTGCATAGATGCTGTGCATACATGTGAAAATCTCTGCCATGAAGGCGAATGTGGGCAGTGTTCTCGCACATCAAAGGTCTACTGCAGATGTGCCTTAAAATTAAAGGTAATAAAAAAGAAGAAAGTTGAAAGTGAAAACCTTACATATGCAGATAATAAAACCTGCTATATCTGTCTATGTTTCATGTACAAGAATATTCTTAAATCTTGTCTTAAATTATTTTGTGTTTTGTGTCTTCTCCAATATATTTATGAAACATTGATTGTTTTTCTAATTATTCATTGCAACACTGTTTAACAATTTGATCCAAAAGGCTATGTGTGTGTATGTTTAATGGATCATTTGAGGAAAGAGGGCATCCATTTTTCCAAATTTTCTAAATTTAAAATTATGTCATTGTGGCAGTTTGCATAATTTCTCTTAATATCATTTCACAAATTATACAAATTGCCCCAAATAAGATAATTGTAGGCTGAGTTTCATTTTATTTTTAAGCTCCTTGTCTGAACTATATTGTATTCAATTTATCTATTCGGGGGTGATATCTAAATGAAAATATTGCATCTTAAGGCTCTTAAATAAGGATTTGCAAAATTAAGATTTTCCTTATATTTTTGTACCTTTGATAACTGGTAAAAGTAAATAGAAACTTTATTTTGGTCATTGACCAATGAAAATAGAGTCAATAAAACTGATAAGTAAAATTAACCATAGCATCAAAGACTGTTGGCAAGACCAATAGCATTATATACTGCCCCATAGTGCTTTAGTTTACAGCACTCTCTGGGTGGTTTACAATTTCAGCATATTGCCCCCAACGATCTGGGTCCTTATTTTACTGACCTTGGAAGGATGGAAGGCCCAGTCAACCTTGAGCCCTGTCAGAATCGAACTTCAGGATGTGGGCAGAGTTTATCTGCAATATTGCATTTTGACCACTGCCATCAAAGGTTTGTGGGCAAAGCTTACACAAAATGTAGCAGAGTTACAAGTAGCCCTCATTTAACAACCACTTGTTTAGCATCTGTTCAAAGTTATGACATCCATGAACAAGTGTTGCTTAGAACCATCCTCAAAGTTCTGACCCATCACCTCTGCTTTGATTTGATTGTGATCTGAGTACTTAGCAACTGGCCCACATTTAGAATGATTGTCACATCCCACACTTGTCATTTGCAATCTTCCCTGTTAACTTCCACAAGCAAAGTCATTGAAAAAGCTTCAGGTAGGATCACAAGTAGCTCTAATATGTCTCTCCCCCCAAAACAGCTGAGTCCGCCACACTCAGGACTTATGGGCCATCTCCACAACACTCCCCCACTCAGGTGCCCCACTACACCTTGTGTCTCTGTTGGCCTACTTGCAAGCCACCTGGGACTCTTAATAACACATAATCTTACCTAATGATAGCAATAGGGAGTCCCAAGATTTCCATCACTAAGTAATAAGTTTGTGACATTGCATCACTTATGACTGCATCACTTAGCAATGGAAATTCTGATCTCAATTACCATTAATTGAAGATTACTTGCATGCAGTGGATATAGAAAGTCTACACACCCTCTTAAAATGCCAGGTTTTTGAGATGTAAAAAAAAAATATCAGACCAAGATCAATCACTTTCTGCCTTTAACATGTAAGCTGTACAATACAATTGAATAACAAAGTGAAATCATTTAGGGAGAAAATAGCAATGGACAATAACAATAAACTTACAATAATGTGCACACACCCTTAAAGTAATACTTGGTTGAAGCACCTTATGGTTTTATGACAGCATTCAGTCTTTTAGAAGCCTATCAGCATGGCACATCAATGCACATCTTGTCTTGGGAATCTTTGCCCACTCTTCCTTGCAAAACTACTCCAAATCTGTAAAATTGTGAGGACATCTCCTATGCACAGCTCTGTTTAGGTCACCCCACAGATTTTCAATTGGATTCAGATCAAGGCTCTGGCTGGGCCATTCCAAAACTTTGATCTGCTAATGAAGCCATTCTTTTGTTGATTTGGAGGTATGCTTTGGATTATTATTGTGTTGAAAGGTGAAATTTTTCTTCATCTTCAGCATTTTAGCAATGGCCTGAAGGCTTTGTGCCATAATTGACTAAGATCTCAGTTCCATCTGAAGAAAAGCACCTCCAAAGCATAATGCTGCCACAACCATATTTCACTGTGATATGGTGTAGTTTTGATGACACACAGTGTGGTGTTTGTGCCGGGCATACTTTTTGGAATTATCGGCAAAAAATTCAACATTGGCCTCATCCGACCATAATACATTTTCCCACATGCTTTTGTAAGGCTTGATTTGGTTTCTGTAAAATGTAGCCAGGTTTGGCTGTTTTTCTTGTGAGAAAAGGCACCCTATCACACAGCCCAGACATATGAAGAATATAGGAGATTGTTGTCACACGTAGTACACAACCAGTACTTGTCAGAAATTCCTACAGCTCCTTTAATGTTGCTGTAGGTCTCGTGGCAACCTCTTGGACCAGTTTTCTTCTTTTTTTCATCAATTTTGGAGGGATATTAAGTTCTCGGTAAATGTCATTGATGTACTATGTTTTCTCCACTTGTTGATGTTTTCACTCTGTTCCATGGTATATCCAATACCTCGGAAACTGTTTTGTACTCTTCTCCTGACTGCTACCTTCCAATAATGAGGTCCCTTGGATGCTTTGTAAGCTCTTTGCAGACCATGGCTTTTGCTGAGTCAATGTCAAAAAAATCCTACTAAAACAGAGTCACTTTAGTTGATGGCAAGTGTGTACTGACTACTATTTATCATCTGTTTGAATGTGATTGGTTGATTCTGAATGCAATCACATCACTGCTTACAAGAAGGTGTGAATATGCATGCAACCAAATTATTCATTTTTTATTGTTATTTTCCCTCTAAAAGATTTCAGTTTGTTTTTCAACTGAATTGTACAGTTTATATGTTACATTAAAGATGAAAAGAAGTCTGAAGTGATATATCTTGATCTGTTTTTTTTTTACATCTTGAAAACTTGGCATTTTAACAGGTGTAGACTTTCTATATCCACTGTATATGTCATATTTAATCTGTAAGTCATTATTCAAATATGATCTTCTATTTCTCAGATTTCGAAATGTGAGTTTCAGTTCAACTAAGAAAATGCATACTTTCCTATTTCCTGTACTTTGCTGACTCCTTGTAGAAAGTAACATTTTTTAATATAGGGAATTTTGCAACTGTTAAGCTGGCTGTAAAGAATACCTTTTGTTCTTTGCAAACAAATTAAAAAGACTCGGAAGGGCACATTGCAACATACTGCTTTATCTTCCTTGAATATCAGAATGATATTATAAATATTTACAATTTAATTTCCTTTTTAGGAAGTTCCATGTGCCTCTCTCAAAAATCAAGGTAAATAATTTTAACATCATATACTATTATATATATATATATATATATATATATATATATATATATATATATATATATATNTTTAAAAAAACTGGGTTTTAGTTAGTGATGTCTATTTTCTATTAGAATGAAGGCAAAACAATGCATTTTCCTGCATACCATCAACATTTACCATTGGCTTAGGGATCCTAGAACAACAAGAGGTCATATGGAAAAGAGAAAAAGAAATTAAAAAATGAAGGATATCATTAGAAGATGGAAAGAACTTAATAGGGTATTATAGTTAGTTAACATATTCCCATCAAGATTATATTTTAGACATTTTCATGGAAGCTGAAGAAAATTATTTCACATTTATGAAATGCACATTTAATTCTTAGGTACAGAATAATTGCAGGATAGCTTGCAATTACCATTAATCAATTTCTGGCTTTTCTCTTTCTATTATATGTTGAATAAGCAACAAAATAAATATACTGAAATGTATTTTTCAATATTTTCAGTATTTTTTTAAAAAAAGCTTTTTGAATTCTAAAGTTAGCAAGAGTTATTTATTTTCCTTCCTTTTGATTATAAAGGTTTTGCAGTGGCTAAATATATCTAATAATGGGGAGCATAAAACATTTACTTAAATTACATTAAGTAACTGTCAATTTATAATAATAATTTAAACATTTTCTTTTTTTAAAGTTAAAGTTCCATTCTTATGTGACAAAAGATGCAACAAGAAATTGTCATGTGGACGACACAAATGTAATGAAACATGTTGTGTGGTAAGTTCACGAATGTGTGAAAAGGAAGAGTTGTGTCAGTATAATTACATTGTTATTTTAATTGTATGGATCTAGCACTATTGACCAATAACCAGAATGCATTATCATCCTGAATTTCACTAACAATCAGTTGAAGAAATCATTTTTTAGTTTTTAGTGACTGAAACTGAATTGGTTGAAGATATGAATTGGAAATAGTTTCCTTATGAGTATATTTTAACTTCTGATTTTTATCAAGTGACTATTCAAGGTGACTGACAAAAAACCAAGACATAAACAATTGCAATGTAATAGAAATATTTAATGTTATTATTCATTATTTCTATTCAAGAAAAAGTCTTACTAAACTGTTTTGACTCCTTTCCTAAAATCAGAAAGCATAGGATTAAACACAGATTTTCAGAGGTTCTTCCTAGCTTTACTGTCTAGGCGGGTCCAGATTAAGAGACTGCACAGTCCCAAACTGGATGGGAGGGGAGAATAGTTCAAAATATCCCCATTCTAGAATCTCTCAGTATATGTCTAGTAGGCTAGAAGATTTTAACTTTAGTTTGGCTAGATTCTGTCCATTACATATAAGCAAATAAAAGATTGGACTCAATTGGATCTCACTTTGTAGTCTTTAGACTTGGACCTGACAGTAACAAAGGCATGTTCATCAAAGCTGACAAGCATGGTACAGGTGGCCCTTGTTTATTGAATGGCTTGTTCATTGTAACTTGAAGTTACAATGATGCTGAAAAATAACTTTACAACTAATGCCCACATTTAAGGCCTTCATAATATCTCTCAGGCATGTGATTGTCATTACAGTAATGTGTTGTCCTATGCCTAACTTATTGGTTTCCTTTTTCCCCCCCTTTGAGAGACAGCAAAGGAAGGGATTGTAAGAGTAAGCAGATTCACATTACAGTAATATGTGTTGTCCTATGCCTAGGATTGCAAGAGAGCAAGCAGTCTCACCATGGGGCATATACATTGAAAGCAATGCACTAGTGCCAACACTGAATGCAAACAGCCCAACCCACATTATGTCTACTTATAGGTAGTCCTTGACATAGGGCCATAATGGAGCCTTCCCATTATGGTAGTATGTCATAATGGTCATAAAATGTGTGATTTAATGACCTTTTTTGTGGCAGTTGCTGCAGTAGTTGTTCAGCAAACACTGTGGTTATTAAGCAAACCAGTGGTTTACTATGGACACCGTTGTGCCCCCAAATGGAAATGTTAGTTTTTGGTAAAACCATTGTAAATGTAGTCACATGACTGGATGCTGCATACATCCTTAAATGCCGCCAGGTCTCCAAGTTCTCAAAGTTTGCCTAACCATCAGAACTTCAAATGCAGGTCATAAGTCCCTTTTTTGGGGGTTGGTCATAGGTTTGACCTGTCACTAAGAAACTGGTCATAAATTGAGGACTACCTTTAGTCTCTTGCAATCTTTTGCTCTCCAATCTCTTCACTTGGAGAGTGGAGAGTTGAACCTCCCCCCCCCCTAATAATTTCTATAAATAATCTATACTGTGCCTGGCCCACTTCTCTCCTACCCTAGTAGAGCTATTAGCACACAATGGGGAATAGACTTAGTTTGTATTAGTTTTTCATTTTTGTGTTTTTAAATTTCAATAAAAATTATTATTTAAAAAAATGGGAAATATAAAAGTGTTTAGTCTTGTCAGTTTCTAACCAGCTAGTCCAGTTCTACTGGATGAACATTCTGAAAGGCAGAGGAGTGCGGAAAAGGAAAGCACAGTTGCAGTCACATGATTTCCTACTTAGCAACCACTTCCCTTAGCAATGGAGTTGCTGGGCCCAATTATGGTTGCTAAATGAGGACTATTTGTAATGGTAACAACTAGTACCTTAGATGTAATTGTTTGGACACATTTCTTCCCAGTTCCACCTACTGGAAATCCAGAACAACTAGGATTAAGGAACACTTCTTAATGGCAGTTCTATTCTTTTGTCGGGGGAGGCGGGATGCAACTCTATCCAGAACCTTGTAAATTTCAGTCCTAGAACGTGATTTCCTAATAGATTACCTTATGGTCACAGTCCAACATGTAGGACTGGAGCTATCACCATAAAACAGGGCTGCCAATTTCTAGTTCTGTTAAGTGATAAACAAGGCTATCACAATGTAGTAATGATAGCATTTGAGTGTTCAAGAGCATAGGTTGTCATCCCATTTGGTTTCTTGCATGGATCAGTGAAGATGATCAGAGCAATTTTAGTCTCATATTTTAACTAAAGATATAAGTGAAATAGATGCACATAATTACTATCTTTCAGATGTGTCTTCAGATGCCTATCATTTTCTAGAAGACTAGTATCTTAGTCATTTGAGATCAACTGATTGTTTCACTTTGAATCAAGGGAAGACTGTCTTATATAATATTAGTTTTCTGACTGCCTCTTTTTCATGGGAAAGATACAAAAAAGCATTAATACTTTCTTTAATCATAGCCCCGGTTCTCTCTAATTGATTTAATCAACTTGGAGGGGCAGTGATCAAGCAAACATATGGTAATCACACCAATCTTGATTCATATGCTTAACATTCACAAACTGAAAAAAGCCAGGTTAATGAGGTATACTATAGATAATCACGTTCTGACTCAGATTAAATTCCAGTTAAGGCAAATTTGGGTGACTATCAATAAAAAATTACAAACTTTTTACCGTAAGTGATTGACTGCTTTGTTCTCTCTCTTCAGCATTTTGGTATTGGAAATGCCACCCAGTATAGAAATGCAGTTCTGGTCTATTTATATAATGGCTTGGTTAATATTTTTCAATTGCTGTAACAGAATATTGCCCCAAATTAGGTTTAATACACACGTCTAACCCACCTAAAGATTTCTTCCATAATCTGTCCCTTGTTGTAATGGTCAGTATTAAGATTAATACATTGAAAATGAGTCTGTGCAAGATTCATCTTGTTCTTGAGAGTGCATTCCCATTGAAAATCCAATTCGGGCTCTGGCAATCCTTACCAGTCTGAAGGATTGTATATGTTACATCTCTTTCTGTGTGTATTAAAGTATCCCTGTTCCACAGTTTGCATCTTCTGATATGAAGGACGTGATAGCTAAAGAAGGCTTCCTCAAAGTGTTGAAGTTTTTATATAAAGGCTTTCTGGCACTTGATTTTTCCCTTTTGATACTGGGTAAAACAATGTGCTTGTAGTGCTAGAAATTTATTTTGAAAGGATAAAAAAATCTCAGTATATTATTCCAAATTTTCATTATAAAATACTACTTTTTAACTATCATTATTGGGAGAAGACAGGTATGTGCCAATGCTTTTGACCGGATACTTATTTAGAATTTATATGTCTAATGAACACTTCTAATTATTAATCATTTTTTAGTTCCTGATCATGTAATTTATTTTTATTTTTATTTTTTTTTAGGATAAGGAGCACAAGTGCTCTTTGATTTGTGGACGTAAACTGAATTGTGGTATCCACAGATGTGAGGAACCTTGTCACCGTGGCAATTGTCAAAAGTGTTGGCAGACCAGTAAGCAGTCATCATGATTGTCTGTAGGTTGTCAGTTTATTTTAGAATAACACACTTTTGATGATTTAGTACTTTATGCATAATCCAATGAAGGTTAGTGACTAAGCCCTGTGGCATTTGCTTTAGGCATCTATTTATGTTTAGGTGCCTGCTATTTATAGTTTGTATTATAGTACTCTCTAAGCGGTTTATAAGCATATTGCCAGCATATTGCTCCCAACAGTCTGGGTCCTCATTTTATCGATGTCAGAAGGGTGGAAGGCTGAGTCAACCTTGAGCCAGTCAAGATCAAACTCCTGGCAATGGGGAGAGTTAGCCTGCAATACTGCATTGTAACCACTGCGCCACCACGGCACCACATCAGAAGTATAGGTAGTCCTCGACTTACAACAGTTCATTTAGTGAGCATTCAAAGTTACAATGGCACTGAATAAAGTAACTTATGATTGTTTTTCAGTTACAACCTTTGTAGCATCCCCATGGTCATGTGATCAAAATTCAGATGCTTGGCAACTGGTTCATATTTATGATGGTTGCTGTGTCCTGGGGTCGAGTGATCATCATTTGTGATCTTCTGACAAGCAAAATCAATGGGGAAGCCAGATTCACTTAACAAACAGCTTACTAACTTAACAACTTCATTGATTCGTTTAACAATTGTGGCAAGAAATGTCATAAAATGGGGCAAAACTCACTTAACAAATGTCTCACTTAACAGAAATTTTGGGCTCTTTTATCAAGGACTATCTATACTACATATCCCTATTAATATTGAGAAATAATTTATTTTACCTTTGTTTTTCTCTAGGTTTTGAGGAATTAACTTGTTATTGTGGTGAATCAGTGATTTATCCCCCAGTACCTTGTGGTACTCGACCACCAGAATGTAAAAAATCATGTACTAGGCCTCATGAATGTGATCATCCAGGTAAAGTATACATTTAAAGTGTTTTTTATTTGCTAAAGGTGCAAAACATTTTCATATGTGTGGTGTAGGGAACAAAATAATTTAATCAGATTATTTCAGAAATATTAGAGTAACATTCTAGGATTGTTGAAATTGAAATTGCCTTTGAAATCACAATGTATAACCAGTGCTGTCATTCTGCTAGCAGAAAGCTTCTATTACTTTCTAAACCCCATTTTCATCTCTGTGTGAATGTCATATCCAGTAGTTTAATTTCAGCTGCTCAAGTCTTATCACAGATTATTGAACAAATCAGTGCAATTTGATTAGGCTAGATCAGGGCTTTTCAACCAGTGGTACGGGTACCACCTGTGGTACATTGGCACCTGGCAGGTGGTACGCGACCATCCTAGAAAAGTGGTAGTGGGGGAGGGGAATGAGCTGAACTGGTGGCAGCACCGCACAAGCCTGAGCGAGAGATGGCTGGAGCTGCAGGGCTGTCAGGGCTCAGTGGAAGCGCCAAGATCAACACTTCTTCGGGGCTCTCGGGTCAGTGGAAGTGCCAGGCTCTAGCTGGAGCTTGGCGCTGATCCTGGTGCTTCTGCTGAGCCCTGAAGAAGCACCAATCAGCTGGAAAGCGGCACTGATCCTGGCGCTTCTGCTGAGCCCTGACAGCCCTGCAGAAGAAGCGCCGATCAGCTGGAATGTTGCAGCATCTCCAGAGTCTTGTGATTTACATTCAGATGCTTGGCAACTGATTCATATTTATGACGGTCAGTGTCCCAGGGTCATGTGAAGTGACCAAAACCTGCTGCAACCACCCAGCAGACGGGGGCGAATAAAAACCAAACACCTCCCACCCCACCCCAGCTGCCAATCCTCAACAGAAATGCTCACAGTAATGAAAACCTCGGACAGGAGGAAGAGCGCCGCCGGGCGGGCAGGCAGGTGTCTTGCTCGGCAGTGGCTTGGGGGGCACTTTTTTCAGTGCCAATGTAATTTCGAACAGTCACTAAGCGAACTGTTGTAAGTTGAGGACTACCTGTACTTTATCACTTTTTTCCTTTTTGGGGGGGGGGTCATCATGTTTTTGACACCTTTTTAGGCTACTGGTGGTACTCGGATGTTGCCGTATCCTAAAAATGGTACAATGGGTGAAAAGGTTGAAAAGCCCTGGGCTAGATAAGGGCATTGTGTTAGATGTTTTACTAGAAATTCAAGAACTGTTGATAGAAAAGTGGAAGTGCCTTTTCGAACTAGTTTCTTTTGGAGAAGCCACAGAACATGTTCTAATTGAAAACAAAACCACAATTTCCAATAGAGAAATTAAGCCTGTTCTGAAACCCCAGTTTAGATTTTATTTGCTAATAAAGGACTGCCATCCTTTGCTTTTTGGATCAAGATCAAGTGTGACAGATTTTCAGTTTTGTTTTGTTTTTAGGATCCATATGGTTCTGAATGTTTTTATTTTTCTTTAATACCTGACAGATAATGTGTACATTATGGCTAATTTGTTATACTTACACTTGGATACTTGGACATGCTTGTTTAGCTTTATGAAGGTTATTGTTGTAAAGGTTTTCTGAGTATTTTTCAAATGGTAGAATGGTTGCTGACTTAATTAAAAAAGAAACACAGTTTGGATGGGATTGCAACTTCATACGTTCATGAAGTTTTTTATACAGTAAATTCAAACATAAAATTGGCTTACACTCATACTTCAATAGTAGAATAGGGAAATAAAATGCTGAAATAATATAGTAAAATGCATTAGGTGTTATTGGAAAGCATTCCTGTGTTTATTTTTCCTTTTTCTGTATATATAGTATATCATTCCTGTCATAGTGAAGAGAAATGTCCACCATGTACATACCTTGTTCAGAAATGGTGTATGGGAAGGCATGAAGTAAGTGAATATTGTATTTTACCTTTGTTAGGGATAAATTTTATTATTTTTTCCTTTTTTCTAATATATGCCTTATGATACGGAGAGAAAATTTTCAGGCAAGTTTTTCATTCCTAATTTCTTCCTGAAAATTGTACAATTTATAAAACCTAAGTAATGATGAAAGTAAAATATTTAATAGTTAATTTTTAGATGAGCTATAATTAATATTTCAGGTATAAACAATCAAAACTCCATTTTTGAATGTATTTAATTGGCTGTACAATTAAAACCTAAACCTAATATAGTCTCAAATAGTCAATGAAACCACAGCTACAAATGTGATAAATTTTCACTTTCCCCAAACATAGCATTCATTGCCCTACTTCTTCTTGCGATACACAAAAACAACTCTGTGCAGCTCTGCAGTAAACTTTTTAGATAGGTTTATTTTATTGTTATCTTTGATTTAATAAAAAAAAAGAAGAAAAGAAAAGAAAAAATAGATGAGTTTATCTTACTGCAGCATATCTCGCTACAAAAAAGTAATCTGAAATTTCAAATAGTTTGTTATGAACTGATTCAGCAACCTTGGTTTGGGTATATATGCTTCCATAATGACTGCTAGATAGATTTCAGTCAAGTTGACAGAAATGGTTTATCTCCTTTTTAAATAAGCATGTTAAACTACTTCCTTTCTAATTTAGGTGGCATCTATCTCTTTGCTTTTTTTTTTCCTAATTCAGTTACGGAGCAATATTCCTTGTTACCTCACTGATATTTCTTGTGGTCTTTGCTGTGATCGAATGTTAAAATGTGGAATGCACAAATGTAAAAGGATCTGTCACAAGGGGGAGTGCCTCATAGATGAAGAGTGCAGACAGCCATGCACTATTCTTAGACTTCACTGTAATCATCCATGTATGTCTCCATGCCATCCATCTTTACCTTGTCCTACAACTTCTTGCCGTTCAAAGGTAGGTAGCTGTGACAATTCATTACACCTCTCAAGCACAGATGCCACTTTAGTACAGTATTTCAGATAAATACTGCTTTGTTACATTTTTTGTTGAAATATTTGCTGTATGTACAGTGAGGGAAAAATGATTGAATCCCCTGCTGATTTTGTACATTTGCCCACTGACAAAGAAACGATTAGTCTATAATTGTAATGGTAGATTTATTTTATCAGTGAGAGACAGAATAACAACAACAAAAATCCAGAAAAACGCATTTCAATAAAATTATAAATTGATTTGCATTTTAATGAGTGAAATAAGTATTTGATCTCCTATCAATCAGCAAGATTTCTGGCTCCCAGGTGTCTTTTATACAGGTAACGAGCTGAGATTAGGAGCACTCTCTTAAAGGGAGTGCTCCTAATCTAGGCTTGTTACCTGTATAAAAGACACCTGTCTACAGAAGCAGTCAATCAGATTCCAAACTTTCCACCATGGCCAAGATCAAAGAGTTGTCCAAGGATGTCAGGGACAAGATTGTAGACCTACACAAGGCTGACAACAGTTGGTGCAATTATTCGCAAATGGAAGAAACACAAAATAACTTGTCAATCCTCCTCAGTCTGGAGCTCCATGCAAGATCTCACCTCATGGAGTTTCAATGATCATGAGGACGGTGAGGAATCAGCCCAGAACTACATGGGAGAATCTTGTCAATGATCTCAAGACGGCTGGGACCATAGTTACCAAGAAAACAATTGGTAACACGCTACACCGTGAAGGACTGAAATCCTGGAGTACCCGCAAGGTCCCCCTGCTCAAGAAAGCACATGTACACGCCCGTCTGAAGTTTACCAATGAATATCTGAATGAATCAGAGGAGAACTGGGTGAAAGTGTTGTGGTCAGATGAGACCAAAATCAAGCTCTTTGTCATCAACTCAACTCGCTGTGTTTGGAGGAGAAGGAATGCTGCCTATGACTCCAAGAACACCATCCCCACTGTCAAACATGGAGGTGGAAACATACTTTGGGGGTGTTTTTCTGCTAAGGGGACAGGACAATTTCAGTGCATCAAAGGGACAATGGATGGGGCCATGTACCATCAAATCTTGGATGAGAACCTCCTTCCCTCAGCCAAGGCATTGAAAATGGGTCATGGATGAGTATTCACACGGCCAAGGCGACAAAGGAATGGCTCAAGAAGAAGCACATTAAGGTCCTGGAGGGGCCTAGCCAGTCTCTAGACCTTAATCCCATAGAAAATCTGGAGGGAGCTGAAAGTTCGAGCTGCCAAACATCAGCCTCAAAACCTTAATGACTTGGAGAGGATCTGCAAAGAGGAGTGAGACAAAATCCCTCCTGAGATGTGTGCAAACCTGGTGGCCAACTACAGGAAATGTCTGACCTCTGTGACTGCCAACAAGGGTTTTGCCACCAACTACTAAATCATGTTTTGCGAAGGGGTCAAATACTTATTTCACTCATTAAAATGCAAATCAATTTATAACTTTATTGAAATGTGTTTTTCTGGATTTTTGTTGTTGTTATTTTGTCTCTCACTGTTAAAATAAACCTACCATTACAATTATAGACTGATCATTTCTTTGTCAGTGGGCAAACGTACAAAATCAGCAGGGGATCAAATAACTTTTTCCCTCACTGTATTTCAAGGTTCCAAATTGTATTGTTTATTTATCTAAAAGAGATGCTAAACTAATTGCTCAAATCTCATTGAAGTTTTCCCTTCATCCTAATATTTCTTAATATTTTATTTAATTTATATTATATTGAAGTAGATTGATATTGGGCTTAAACTGACAAAATGATCTAAGATAGCCTAAGAAAGTTGACATCCAAACTACCTAGGCTACCTTTTCCATAGTTTATTTTCTTTATATACTGTCCATTTCCAAAGCCTCTGGTGGCTAACTGTATCAAAAATATCACTAAGCAAAAGCAAAAAAGCAAATAAATCAAAAAAAGAATGTATAAATCTACCCATTAAATAAACCAAATCAGTATCAAAATTATACAAAATAAAATGTATATAAACATGCACCCACCAAATTCAGCTGTTCAGTCACACCATGCCCTCTTCCTGTCAAGAAACAGATCAGATCTTTGTGGGAAGGGAATTTCAAAGTAGGGAGTGGTGATAAAAAATGCCAATTACTAAACCTGATTTGCCAGCGTTTTCAAACACTACCTGGTTTTTTTTTTTACTTTTTTCAATCTGATTGAATAGGTAGATGAATATGTGAGAATATGTTCCCATAAATAACCCAATCCATGGCTTTATAAGGTTTTGAATGAATTGAGGAAGACTCAGTTGCGAACTACCTCTGAATGGGGCAATCAAAAATGATCTCCCGGAATTTGTATTTCTATTGTAGTTAGATATAAGTGTCTGTATGGTTTTATTGCTTTTACTGTTGTAAGCCTCCCAGAGTCACCTTGCAGCAAGATGAACATCAAACAAATTTAATAAATAAAAATAAAATAAATAAAATAATATTGTTTAGCCATAACCACAAAGATCCTCTGTCTTGAAGGGATTAAGTCTCAGTCCCTACTTTCTGATTCAGACTCTAATGGCTTCTAGGAACACAGTTAGTAAGTCTACTATAGAACCTGTTTGGCCTGGCACCATGATATATAGTTGGATATTACTACAATATTCCTGATGGGTAAACCCTTGCTTTGGCTTTCCTCATTGGTTTCATGTATGTGTTAAAAAGAATCTGAGAGTAGAGAGGCCTGAAGCACTCTCCAAAGTACAGGTCTCTGGATATAGCTGTCCCAGCACTTTTGATAATGCAGTTTGTTGAGTCTTTCTCATTGCAAGATGATTAAGATGCATAACATTGTTATAGATTTTGCCTTAAAATTCCTCTAGTCCACTCAATATAAATTTTAGCAAATAATCAGAATTGTTTAGTGTCATAATTATGACATAGGAAAACTAAGCTGTCTTGAAATTAACAAAAGAGTCCATTTCGTTCCGGTCAATAAATGTGCCCTTTGTTGCTGCTTAGCAATTAAGATGTTAAATTTCTGTGATACTAATTACTGTTTTTCTGATATTATAGGTTGAACTTCAGTGTGAGTGTGGAAGAAAAAAAGAATCTATGATTTGCTCAGAAGCAGCAAGTACATATCATAGGTCTGTTGAGGCAATGACTACTGCATTTTTTTTAATTGCATAGAAGCAGAAGAATAAAAAAATCCTGTGCAGCTGTAATTTCATTTCCTTCTGAATGTATTCATATAGTACCAATTAATCTAGCTGTCATAGATAGTACTCCTGCTCAACTAATTTTACTCCCTTGGTTCACATTGAACATGTCTATAATGATTTTTCTCGCTCCAAATTGGATGGCTGTGTAATATATACTGCATGCACATGCACATCTCCTGGGAGATATTTAACATTGTACAGCAGCAGACTGGTGTTTCTAGTGCCAGAAATAATTTTGGCTCTGTGTGAAGTTGCTAATATTTAAAATTTATATTATTCGTGTGTGTGTGTGTGTGTGGAATTCCCATCACTCATTTCTCATAAAAGGGTGTGTGTTTGTGTATGTGTGTGGGGCACAGGTGAAAGAATAAATTAATTTTACTGGCAAATGCTGTTAATAATAATAATAACTTTATTGTCACTTTGAAAGTATACCAATCGGCATACATCAAAATGAAATTTCGTTAACTCAGCAGATGTATAACTAGGGACTCAGTCTGGATTAACTGAGAGCCAGCCAGAGAACATCACTTTACATATCTTTGTATGAGCTCAATAACAAATTTTTGAATAGTTGACTAAATATAAGGGGGAGCGTTATCTAATTTTTAAATTACAATTTCAATGAAAAGTTCTGATATTCTTGAAATCTAACCTTAAAACCTGTTTAAAAAAGTAAGATCACAAGTGCATGTATTAGATATTAGTTTGAGTTTTTCAGTTTGCAGAATTGATGCCAAAGTTGCATTCATAGGCTATATTATTCCCCTGCCTGTGATTGAAACAATAATTCTGTCCAAAATGGCAAAGATTTCTGAAATTTCAGTGTACATTCTGCCTTTGCCCTTAGCACACATAGTAAATTTTTGTAGCTTCTTTTAAAGAATTGTTTATGTTTCATAAAATATTCTCTTCATTTATTTTTTTTTTGCAGAATAGCTGCAATATCAATTGCCTCTAAGTTAACAGATCCACAACTTGGAGATTCAGTAGAGATAAGCAGATTGATTACCAAAAAAGAAATGAAGCAAACCAGGTACTAAATCATGAATCAGTGGAGGAAGACTTTTAAAATTCAGTTGGAGTTTGGCTTTTATGTTGCTTGCTAGAGTACATATTAGTTACATTGAAGTTGGTGGATGCAACTTATTGATATGTTTTAACTGATTTTGTTTCATTATGTATAATTGAAATGGTTATATCAATATTTGAAATGGAAAGATAGACAGGTAATAAAGTAATTAAATGTGATTCTTAAATAGCAATTTTGGCTTGGAGGCATGCCTGCAGAACTTATTTTGTAATATTCCAGTTCTGTTTAATCCATTATTGTTGCTAACTTGAGATTGTCAATTGCATTCCTGTCTGGCATAGTGCTGGGCCAGACATGATAAATTTAAGTTCCTGTTGTGTGAAAGATTCTTTCTTTGTGCATAAATGCAATAGCACTTTCAAATAAACATTTCTCATATGTCTGTGTTCATTGTTCATTTAGGTTGCAGTGTGATGAAGAATGCTTGGCTCTTGAAAGAAACAGGTAGATAAATTGCTTTATTGATTCTGATGCAATAAACTATGTGATGTGTATGTGACTGGAAGGAAATAGATAACCTCCTACAGTAAATTAAAATTTGGGATTTGGCTATTGCTAGATTGGGTAACATTAAATATTTATTTATTATTAGACGGTTTGCTGAGGCTCTTCACATAGATGACAGTTCTGATCCATTCAATGTTCGTGTCTCTGCACCCAAGTACAGTGATGTGTTGAAAGAGGATGGAAGGTATGCACCATTATTTTTCATAGGTTTCTGTGTCACGTAATTTTTCTCACATAATCAGGCATTGTGTTGACCTTTGTGAAGATATTAAAATCTGACAATTATTTGAATTGTTTTGCTACTAGAGGAGGTTTTTTTTATTTGTCTTGGTGTGTGACCTTTTCCCTGCACATGATTCGGAAATTTCTTTGAATGTTTTTCTTTTTTTAAAAAAAAAAAGTTTTATTAGTGTATAATATACGATAAATCAAAATACAAAGTAAATAGCGGGAAAGATGGGGAAGGGAAAAGGGAGTGGAGAAGTGAGGTAAGGGAGGGAAAAAAGGGGGGGAAGGTATTGACTTCCGACTTCTTTTGGTGCAATAGAGTATCAACTTCAAACCTCAACTTTTTACTTTTACAAAATAATATAAACTAGCCATTTCAATAACATCAAATCTATCTCATTGGTAAAGCCCACAATCAAATTTCATTTTTTTCCACCTCAAGCACAAAATCTAGAAGCGGTTTCCACTTGGCAATAAAAGTCTTCGTATTTTTTTCTTTAATCAGTACAATCAGTTTAGCCATCTCTGCTAGCTCCATCAGTTTTTGTAACCATTGTTTTTCTAAGAAAGTTTCTATTAAAGTTGGAGGAATTTTCAGAGTCAAAAGTATATACGATGACCAATGCTAAGAGATGGTTTCCCCTGTTGCATGGAAAAGCGTGGCTGAGGGACATTTGGACAATGCAGTTGGGAATTTTTCTGTACTTGCTTTTTTTTCTTTTTTACTTGCTTTCTTTTCAGTCAGTTCTCTTCCAGTATCTAAATTTGGTTTAATGGAAATATATTTATTTCTTATTTTGTACTTGAGGCTAGACAGAAACGGATCAGATATTTATCTGTTTATAATTCCTATTTCTAACCCACCCATCTTCTCAGAGATACTCCTGTCTATATATTTCTGTTGCCATTTATATTATTCCTACTATTTTATTTATGGTTCATATAACATGCATTTGAATCAAAAGTTCTGCTGTGAGAAATAATTTGGCCTGCAGTCACAAAAAGTCTGCTGGTTGTTATTCTGTTATATCTTTACAGTCCATACACCATTGTCTCCTGCAGGTCCTGCTGTGGTACAGGTAGTCTTTGTTTAGCTAATACAATTGGGACCAGCAATTTGGTTGTTAAGCGAAGTCTCTAGGTGAAGCTGCAACTGCTTATGTCTTACTTCAGCTTACAGACCTACAAAGGTTGTAAATGTGAAGATTGATTTCAAAGTTACTTTTTCATCATCATCATAATTGTGGCTGCTGTATAAGGCATTTGCTAAACAAGGATTACCTGTAGTGATAGGGTATTCCAGGGAGGAATAAGCAAAGAATGCTAAGAATGTAGGCCAGGAGTATATAATCCCAACAAAATCACCAAAGGTGTAAAGATCATCCCAACTGCCTAGGAAAAAAAATACCAGAAAGAGGCAGTATGTGTTCCATTGATTATAGAAAGGCTTTTGATTGTGTGGACCATACTTAGAAAAATAGGAAGTCCAGAAATCTCATTGCCCTCGTGCAAAAGCTATACACAGACCAGGAAACCAGTCTAGATAGAGCATGGTAAAACCCCAGGTTGATGAAAAAGAGAGACTGAGACATATATAATCCCATTATTTATTCTTCCTAAATGTTGAATATATTTTAAATGAAGCTGGTTTGAAACTGTAGGAAGCATCAATAACCGGTGCTACACTGACAATGTTTCTTTATAGCTGAGAATTCAAATGATTTTGAAGTTCTAGTTCTAGCAAATGAAAATCAAGGAGCACAATTTAAAAAAAACTAAGGCATTAAGATAAAGTTATCTTACTCTTATTAAAAAGACCAAGCAACAGGTATAAAACCAGTCTTAAATTTAACAATAAATATTCTGAAGTGGTGGATCATATTTCACTTTTAGGAGCAACTATGAACAATAAAAATCAACAGTCAAGAAATAGATCACAAACTAGCACTTGATAAGATAGCTTTGAAGGCTTTGATGCTGCTATGTTTCTAGACCTACAAACAACAGAATGGAGCAGGGTTACAGTCTCCTTGTGACAGTCTATGGGTGACATACATGCACAGTCCACAGTGCATAAGTGTATTCAACATTAGAAAAGACATTGTAAATTGTTGATCAGCTTGTAACAATTATAAAATATCAAAAGGATAATTTTTCCTATTATATCTTCACAGGTTTGGGGATGCTATACTTTCATTTTTAAAAACATTATTTTTTAAATATATGGAATTACAATCTCAGAGTTTAAAAACCCGAATAAATTTCCTTCTCTAAGAAACAAAATGAAATTCATGGGAAATCGGAAACCTTTGATGATATACCCAGTTTATGCTGGGGGTGGGGGTAGCTTAAGTTAGGTTGAAAGAAAAAAAAATTAGTTACAGAATTGTTGTTCTTGTCCTAATTATTATTTCTTTTCTGCTGCAGAAAAGATTTAAAGTTTGTCAGTGAAGTTGAGAAAGAAATGAAAGTTCTTATAGAAGCAGTCAATAAGGTTGGTAATGTAGAAAACATTTTCATTTCCAAGTACATAAGAGTCTTAAATCTTGTATCAAAACCAATACAGTAATATAGGCAGAAAGCAATTAAATCCAGTGCTATAGATTACATTTTTTAGGGAACAGACAGTAACACAGTCAACATGTTTACCATGGACAGTTAAATATACTATCATAATCTAAACCATCTTGTGACAGATTGCAGTGGCAGTTGCACAAATTTTGTCATATTCCTAGAAATTGTAGTTGATATCCTGTGAGCTGGGGGGAAAACACAGAATTTTCATCATTTGGCTTTCTGCAGTATTTAGATAAAAGTAATATAATTAAATGTTTGCAACAAGGTAAGTTAAAAAAAAAAGACAGAAGAGAAGAATATCCTATGGCATGGATAAAGATGTTCCTGTAAAGTAGTACCATTGAATCTGCTTTCTAATTTTGTTGGTTGCAGCCCAGCATATTTAGTCAATCTCTGCACTAAGTAAATAATTAGAAATGGAATAAGGTGTAATGGGCTCTCAGAATAACCTTGGGAGACAGCAGGAAGTGCTGCAAGTGAGACAACTGTCCTAAAAGAGAGATCTCAGCCACAGAAAGAATGGAGGTAGAGGAAGTGTTGCAAAAAGGACCCTCCCTAATCCTCTGGAAAACACTGAGAGAATTTGGTCATTAGGGAGCAATCTATTTGTTCTTTCCAGTATGTAGGAGTAGGAGCATAGAAGAGTAGGAAGAGAATGGCGTGATAGTGTCACTGAATTAAAATATTAAACCTATCAAGAGAATCTTTGGAAAGAAAAGGCAAAATAAAGTGCCAGAAGGAAGAGGAAATGTTTCCTTTCATGATTTGGGCAATTTTTTTCACATTTTTTTAAGCTGCTGCTTTTTTAGAAGTATTTCATAATTTTTATTTCTCAAGATTGCTGCCTCAAGAAATACTGCAACATGAAGCTCTATATACCTTACAGTTTTTCATAACTTTTTTTGTGTGTGACATTCTTGATTAAACTAAAATTTGAAGTTTTGCTTTGAGTCCAGTTTTTGTAATGAGCAATAGACTTCCTATTTTATTTATTTGAAATCATTAACTACAGGTAATTCCTGAGTTACGACAGTTCACTTAGCACCCATTGGAAGTTACGCAATAAGCGCCCCAGTGTTTATGACATAATCCCAAAATTACAAATGTTGCAGCACCACGGCAGTCGTTCGCCCTTATGAATGACCACAGAGGCACATTCACCCTGCCTATTGCCCCCACAATTGCTTTCCTTCTCCCATCTTTCTGCTCCGGATCACTTACCTTGTGAAGCTGTCTCATTTCTGCTGCAGTTTCTTTGACGATTTCTCTTCTAGCATCCGATTGGCTTGCAAATGCTTTTCACGTGCCAAGAGTGAATTGTTTTGGGCACTGTGATCTCACGGGATTTCAGGCCACAAGATCATAGTGCCCTGAAGCTTCCAGTCTCCACGTAAAAAGTTTGAAATCACACTGCCTCAAAGTGTCCTGTCGGCTTGCAAATGCTTTTCACGCCAAGAGTGAAATGCTTTGGGCTGTCTGATCTTCCAGTCTCTGCACAAAAAGTTTGCAAGCCAACGTGATTCTTTGAGGCAGTGAAATCGCACTGCTTCAAAGAGTCCCGTCGGTTTGCAAACTTTTTGCGTGGAGACTGGAAGCTTCTGGGCGCTGTGATCTTGCAGGTCTTCAGGCCACAAGATCACAGCGACCAGGACATTTCACTCTCGGCATGCAAAAAGCATTTGCAAGCTGATAGGACGCTTTGAGGCAGCACCATTTTGCTGCCTCAAAGAGTCCTGTCAGCTTGCAAACGTTTTACACGGAGACTGGAAGCTTCTGGGTGCCGTGATCTTGCGGCCTGAGTGAAATCATGGTGCCCAGAACATTTCATTCTCACTTCGTGAAAACCGTTTGCAAGTCAATTGGATGCTGGAAGAGAAATCAACGAAGAAACAGTGGCAGAGAGGAGACAGATCCTCACAAGGTAAATAACCCAGCACAGCAGGATGGTGGGGAAGCAATTGCATGGGTCTCAGTGGGCCGGGGGAAGCTTTGGGTGGTCTTAAGCAGATGGCCTGTTCCATCACTAGGTCCCCCATGGCCTTTCCCATCCTGAGATACCTTATGTGCGACCCGTGCATTCGATTAGCAAATAAAAACGGAATGATCTCGTTCCAGGTACGTGATTCACTCCAACGAATCAAGTTACAAATGGAATTGGCAAGCTCCATTGCATTCATAACTTGAAGACTAATAATATGAATCAAGAATCTCTGGTTATGGTCAGGGCCGCAAACTAACAGTCTGATGATCACTAGAATATGGTCATTATCGAAACATCTGCGAATAGAAAGGAAATTACAATGCATGTCAAATCAGATAAAACCATTAAAAATGCTTTTCAATCATTCCGTTTTCAGTTGGTGAGCTCTTTGTCACAACTGCCCATGACAGAATTATTCCATATATAAAAATCACGTTTAGCTGTCATTTGGAATAGTTTCCAACTCCTTAGTTTATTCCAAACTCTTTGGAACTTCGAGGAGGAATATTCCCTCATAACAAGGAAGGATGCTATTAAATCACAATAATAGCAAGTAAAGATTTGTTGTTTGGCTTCATTTGAGATTTGCAGGAGCAATGTGCTCCTTCAGAATAGAGAATTCAGATGTTCCATATGTCATTCAGTGTGGGACATGAGCAGCTGAGGAGGAATATAGATGTTAAATAATAAAATGTATCGTAATTCACCTACGGGTTCAGAGATATGGAACTGTAAGACAAACAAGTAAAGCAGAATTAATGAATTATAAACTTCAAACCAGTTAATATACAAAGACCACCACAAGAATGTTCATTATAGGAATTGAGGTTGCTTTTAAAATAAAAAACTTGAATCCTTCTGATTTCAGGGCTCAAGTTTCTTATATAAAAGTGATATCATATTTCTTGATTTCATAAAATGTATATAAATATATAAAATGGATATAATACAAATTAAAAAAATCATCTGAGACTTAATCAGAGATATTTTTTTGTTCAGTAAATAGTTACCCCAAGGAATTGGCTACACTTAAAATCATTGCCCAATTCATGCACAAAGCAAACATTGATGGTATGGCTCAGTCTTCTCCAAACTTAATCAAAATATTATATCTCGCCAATGCAGAGCAAGCACACAAAGAAGAGTCATTGTTTTCCACCCATGAACCGAGAACACCGTCGAATCATCCACGAACTTGCTCAGGTTTACGGCATTGAGAGTGTGAGCTATGATAACGAACCAAAGCGCAATGTTGTTATCAGTGCGGTCAAGTATGTTGTTCTGTTTTCTTGTTATAAATGGCAAATTTACCATCTTCCAATAAATGATGTAATTTTTATGTTCTGTTTTTGAACCAATTTGATTTTACATTCATATTGTGCAAACATTTTAAGTATTTGTGTGTGAGGAATTTAATATATTTGTGTTTAGGAAAGATGTATTCCCATGATCACTTCTTCATTGAAAATGTCCTTGATTAAATAGTTTCTCTTATATACAGGAACATTGTAATAATTTGATTAAAACATAATTTGAAACAAAATAATAATCCACATAAATATCATGAATTACATAGGGTCATTCTCCTGAGTCTCTGTAGTCCAAAGATGTCAGGGTTTTTTTTTTAAAGAAAAGCTGGTTTATATACCTAAAGATATATGATGTTTGTCACTAATACTCCTATATGGCATGAGTGTAGTTTTTTAACTCCTAGCAAATTGGGTGATTTAATGAAAGCATTAATCTAACCTGAAAATCTATTTACTCCAGAGAGCTATAAAAAAATGCTTATCCCCATATCTACAAAATTCCTGTAATTCAAAATAGGAGTCACAGTAATGCAATAAGAAGGGTAGTTTAGGGCAGTGATGGCGAACCTTTTAGAGACCAAGTGCCCCAAAACTGGCCCCGCTCCACCCCCTGCCCCACCCCTGTTCCGCCCCTACCCCACCTGCCTGCAGGGCCACTCACCGCCTCGAGGGCCCACCGCAGATCGCCCAGGCAGCCCAGCAGCGCCATGGTGACCACACCCTCTGCCCACGCCCCGTAGCATCAACTGTCTATGCTGCTTGGCTGTCATGTCCTTGACTGCGCTGCTCCGTGTGGGCCACGCTCGGGAGCGACTCTCCTCCAGGGGAGCTGCTGGTGAGGGGGTCGTGGGGGCAGGTGAGGCTGGGGCAACAGCACATGTGCCCACAGAGAGGGCTCCGAGTGCCACCTCTGGCACGCGTGCCATAAATTCGCCACCACTGGTTTAGGGCATCATATAACAAAGCTCTTTAATAGTAAGGTTTTCTTTCTGTAGACAAGGGAGACATGGTGGCTCAGTGGTTAGGACACTAAGTCTTAGACTGTTAAAAGTTTATAGCTCGGGAGTTCGAGACCCAAGCACTGCGAGACGGAGTGAGCTCCCAACACTTGTCCCAGCTCCTACCCATCTAGCAGTTCGAAAGCATACAAATGCAAGTAGATGAATAGGTACTGCATATAAGCATGCAGAAAAGTAACTGTTTCGTGTTTTTTTTTTAATCTGTAGAGGGAAATCAGTTTGTCCAACAGTTACTCTGACATCAGTACTTACGAAGGAGAAGCAGACCAGGCCTCCCCCACCTATTCCTCATCACAAACAATCAGAAAAGTAAGTATCATTTCTTTTAAATATCTGGGTTGATGTAATATATTTTTAGTGATAGTTTATCTGAGATTAGGCATAAATGTATTCATCGGTAACTTGCCTAATAGGTATCCAATTCATTCCAATAAGAAAGAAAAAAGATGACCATAATGCTAGTGTAAAAAGTGTTTTTTCCACAGATTTTTTTTCTCATCATCAATCATTTGAGACTACATTTGAAACTTTATTATAACTAAGCCGGCATAGTAAAAAGCCAAGTTTGAACCAGAAGATGAAAATTAAGAGTCAGGCTGTATTTTCATCATAAGAATTTTCATCAAAAGAAATTTAGAATTTCATAGCATGTTGTATTTTTATTGTTATGGTTATCATTTACATTTGTATAATATATAAGTGGAAGAGCCTCAGGATTCTCAATTAATTAAAAGGCAAAATAGAAAGTTGGAAGGATCTATTTCTCAAAGCAGAAAACTTGAAGAAGGTTCATTGTGGTATCTTCTTTTCACCTTATCCTCACATTTATTTTGATCAGATATTTCTGTAACACAAAGGATGGCTTTCCTTCTTTTGTGGATGCCATTTTGAGAAGAGGAGGCAAACAGTGGTGATGGGGGTGATAAATGGTGGAACAAAAGGAATAATGAAAAGCTACATGAATGAATGAGAACAAAAGAAATGGATAATGGGACTTCCGGTTCCGGATCGTGGCGCTGGCAGTCTTGCGGAGAGAGTCGTCTCTTTGCCGGCCAGTTTCCCTTCACCAGTAGACCCTTAACAGGGTCGAAAGTCGCCCTGGAGGGGCGACTACCAATGAGGAGGACTCTCATCAATCGCGGAAGGGCGGCAGCTCCTTCCGCGGTCCAAGGCAGCTCCTTGGGGCCGACGGAGAAAAGATCGGCCATTAACATGGACAATCATTTAGCCGCACCAGCCGAAAGTCAGAAGAACATCTAAGCATAAAGAACCACCGTGGAAGATCCGGGTGAGACCCTTCCTTCCCTCTCTTTACCCTAACTATCTCCCTGTGAAAAGCTTTTGGAATTATTTCCCTACTTTGAGAGAGCGGCGTCTGTTTACTGAGGAAAAAGAGCTCTGGAAACAAAGAAAAAATAATTAATTTTTACTATTTTTATTTTTGGATACTCTGGGGTCCTGAAAAAATTCCTAATATAGAACTTTATTACTCTACTCTTTATTACTCTGTTTATTAAGCTGGGGAATATTGTTTTTTTTTTTTTTACTTTCCTAACTGGATAAAACTGTATTGGAATCTGGAAAAAAGATTTTACAGCCTACTGGGGACATCTTGTGACGAAAGCTGACACTGCAATTGTATTTCCTGTTTGATTTTGAGGCTGGGTTTGACTTTCAAATTATTATAAAAGGGAAAAGATAAAGGATTTGAAACAGCTGGGTGGTGAAACAGTCTACTAGAAACTGTGGAGGTGGATATTGGCTGATTGTTAGTAAACATAGCCTCCACTAAAAGACTAAAAGATTATTTCACCATTGAAATGGAGGAATTTTACCCACAGCTTAACTATAAGCTTATATTGGAAAAAATCTTGGAGGTTACGGAGCAAATGAACTCTAGGATGAATACCAAAGATGATATTCCAGAACTACAAATTGAACCTCAAATTTTAACTGATCAACTTATAGGCCAAGGAATAATAGAGGAGGAACAGATCAACTTCAAAGAGGCCTGTATGCAACAACACACACAATTTAATGAGATGGAGGAACCTCACCCACAACTTAACTATAAACTTATACTGGAAATTTTTTTTGAAGCTACTGAGCAAATGAATTCCAGAATAAAAGCCCTTGCCCCAAAACTTCAAACTGATTTCCAGACTCCAGGTGACTACTCCATAAGTCAAAAAACAACAGAAGAGGAACAAATCAACACAGAAGAGGACATTACACAATCCTACGTACAACTCATTGAGAACTTTGACGACCAAAGAATGACTTTAATTAAAATACTTGTAATGCCAAAAGCAACAGGAAATGATTTGCAAACACGAGGTATTGAAAACTGTGATAATGTGGATAACCAACTAGTAACCACAACGTTGAATAAAACTGATTATACTACTCAGACGATACTGGAAGAAGGAGAAGAGAAGTACGACCAGACTGAACTGTTGATAAACACTCCTAATCAAACACTGAGATTTTTCATGATATAATAGAGCAGACATGTCAAACTCGCGACGTCACATGACGTTGCACAACATCGGAGCTTTTTCGCCATTGCGGCAATGGGGTGGGCGCGGCTCCGTTATGATGAAACCGGCCCGTGGGCCAGCAGTTTGACACCCCTGACATTCAATTTAATTTATTTGATTTATATACCGCCCTTCTCCCTTGCGGGACTCAGGGCGGTGAACAGGCACATTAATAAAACAGCGATACCATAATATTTAAAAATATTAAAAACTAATTAAATTATTTGTCCTGTCCTAAAACCCACTATAATAATATAAAATTATACCCAATTTAAAATTTTAGAATTTCGGATTTATGCCAGACCG